TGTGATTATATATAGAGAGAATTTATTGATATATATGTATACATATATATTCACACAGGCATGCACGCAAACATACACACACATATATATATGTATATTTATATGTACATATATGTGTACATATGCATACATATAAACACAAATATATACATATGTATGCATATATACATATAATATTTATACACACATATATATATATATATATGTATATAAACACATACATATGTATATATGTGCATATAAACATATGTATATAAACACATATATACATATATATTAAGTACATGCACTTAATTACCCGCAAAAAATACTACAAACTGCCAAAGTCTCCTATGATCTCACTTTATGTCTTCACACATTCTCCTCACAGGTAAGCTCCCCGAAGCTGAGCGGCCGCTACGACTCTTCGCTTCATGAGACGCTCAGCTGAACGAGAGGCGAAAGTAAAGAAATGAAACTGACGCTCCTTCCCTGAGTCTTGGGGATTGGGAAGAGTTACCCCAGGGGTTTCAAAAGTAGTTAAAGAGGGTTGCTTAGGGGAAGTAGGGGACCGATATATGCCTTGGGGTTTAAAAGATTGTTAAACGCTTTTTTTTGTGAAATAAAAGAAAGCAGTTTCTCAAGACTTAGTTTCCCTTACCGATGTATGTGGGAAGCAGGGTTTGGTACATAGTTCCTGGCACAAACGTATAAGAAAACTACACATTCACTTAAGTATCCTTAATATTGATTTGTATGTGTGTGTGTGCATGTATTTATTTATATATACTGAAGTTTAGGAATTCTTCAGCTACTATTGTGAGCACACACAATTCCTGAGACAGGCCGTGCTGGTAAAGAGACTTTGCGATTCACTTACACCATGGCAGCAGGAGCGCCTGATGGCAATCCCACCGCCAGGGTAAGCGCCTAGTGTCACAGAACTAAATGTGGCAGCCTTAAAAAGCTGACACAGGCCGGGGCCATAGCCGAAGGCCCGGGCGAAGCTAGAACTTCGCAAATCGCAATCGCAATTCTTCAGCCAATTATGATTCCGTAAATACCATAGAGTAAAATAAAATCTCCTCTACGGATTTATGCTGTACATAACATTTTTAATGTGTAGTTCTTTAGAGAATAACCTTTTATGACCTGTATTTAATTCCGCATGGAATTTTTGTTCAGGTAAGCACATGTCTGCTGTTAGTGAACAGGGCTGGTCAAAAGACTGCTACTATTGTTCATGGCATTCGAGAAATCTACTCCTGCACCTACTCTGTATGACAACTGATTTGGAAGACGTTCGACCATTTGAAAAGAGGGATTTATCTTCAACTATGATCCTCCTAATTTAATTAAAAGAAGGAAATTCATGCATACTATTTGAAAATGATGAATGGATATTAAAGGTCGACACATGCATATCTTTATTTATATATCTATTTCTATCTCTCTCTCTATATATATGTAATTATATATATGTATACATATATACATGTATACGTATATGAATACATGTATATATATATATATATATATATTTGTATATATATTATATATATACATATACATATGTGTGTGTGTAAACACATTCATATATGTATACATACACACACACACACACACACACACACATATATATATATATATATATATATATATATATGTATATATATATAACTCACACACACGCACAAGCATACACACAATTCTATATATATATATATATTCATAAGTATGTGTGTATATGTTTGTTTTCATGTAACTATCGATTTATCTATGTATATATTCATACCCCTAAATCTTTCTATATGATTTCCAATTATTATGATCTTTATTATTATCATTATTATTATTATTGGTATATTTTTTTTCATTATCATTATCAACATTATCATCTTTGGTTTTGTGTTTTTATATTGATGTTATTATTATTACAGAAATTATTTCTATCCTTAGTAATAATAAAGTTAATTATATTATGAAAGGTCACATTTTGTACTATTAATGTTATTATTATTTTCATTGTTATTGTTATTCTATGTTTTATTATATTATTACTATATTTTATAATTATTTTATTATTATACTAATTGTTTCATAACCTACAGTCATTATTATTCTTATTAATTATATTGCTATTATCATTATCATCATAATTATTAGTTAATGTTATTATAATGCTCATTATTCATCAAATAATGATAGTGATAGTGGTGATGAAAACGATAATTATTGAAAACGAAAGTGATAATGGTGATAAAGAGGTGATGATAATTATAATTGGAAAAAAATGATAATAACAATAATATAAATAATGATCATGATAATTATGACAAGGACTATATAATACAGATAATAATAGCTGAACTAACAATAACAAAAAAGTGGAAATATGTAAACTAATATAAAATAGTAAATAATTTTGTGTGTGTGGTTCGTTGTATATATACACATATATATAAATTGGTGTATGTACATACGTACATTTCTCTCTATATATATCTATATAGATATGTATGTACACACATACACTCACACACATATATATTGATATTAAAATATATTTATATATTTATATTAAGATGTCTATATATTTATAAATATATGTATATATAAATTTGCACATATAAGTATATGCACATAATTACATTGCTGTATACTTACCCGCAAAAATAAACTACGAGCAGCCAAATTGCCCTATAATCTCACCTTATGCTTCCACACGCTCTCACAGGTAAGCTCCTCGAAGCAGAGTGGCCGCTACGACTCTTCGCTTAATGGGACGCTCGGCTGAACGAGTGGCGAAAGTGAAATAATGGAAGTGAACTGATATGTATACATATTGACTGTGAAATACCCAATTCTCCTATGATCTCACCTTCTGGCTTCACATACTCTCCACACCGGTAAGCTCCTCGCAGCAGAGTGGCCGCACGTGCCTTCCCTCGGGCGTCAACGCAAAGATTCTTCGCTCAAAGAAACTCAACTAAACGAGAGTCGAAGGCAAGGGGAAGATAAGGATAAATCCGATATGCGAAACAGAGCCTCGTCCGGGCTATGCCCATGAGGGGAGCCCGGCCTGTGTCGACACGCTAACGCTGTGTTGACTGCTGACTCGGCTGAGCTTAGTCCTTACCCGCCGTGGTTAGTTAGTTGAGATTTGCGAAGATCTAGCTTCGCTGGGGCCTTCCATATATAGCCCGGCCTGTGTCACGTTTTTATGGCTGTCTCATTTTATTTTCAGACACTCGGTGCTTACCGTGGTGGCGGGATTCCCAGCAGGCGCTTCTGCCGCCCTGATGTAAGCATACCGAATAACCTCTTTACCAGCACGGCGGCTGTTGCGGGCGGTCCCTGTCTCAGAAATTGTGTGTGCTCACCATTCTCTAAGTAGTGTACGAGGGTGGCGTTCGTGGTGCCCAGACACAGCAGTAACCTCCGGGCGACAATCGCAACTTCTGGCACCTGGGCGGGGCGCGAACCGCCGACCGCTCGGAGAGGTCGACACGTCACGGAGGCTCAAGGTGAGGGAACTGACGCTGGGGAAGGAATCAATCAATTAATTGCTATTTGCGAAGTTCTAGCTTCGCCCGGGCCTTCGGCTATGGCCCGGCCTGTGTCAGCTTTTTAGGGCTGGCTCATTTTGTTCTGTGACATTCGGCGCTTACCGTGGCGGTGGGATTGCCAGTAGGCGCTCCTGCTACCATGGCGTAAGCGAATCGCAAAGTCTCTTTTCCAGCACGGCGGCTGTTGTCGGCGGTCCCTGTCTCAGGAATTGTGTGTTCAGAATTCTCTAAGTAATGTATAAGTGTGGCGTTCGGCTCGCCGCAATGCATGCAACACCTCTCTTCACGGACAATGGTCTCAATTATCTGCCATGTACAGTGGTAGCCTAGGCGTATTCTGTGAAGAATGACTTCGGTACCTCTGTTATTTATCTCAGAGAGTGCCAGTGGTTTATAGCCTGTTGCTTCTGAGTACCATCTGGCCGAGGGGGAGGATCTCGTTGCCTCTCTGTGAAGCTGCAGGAGGAAGGAGTTGGCGACACCGGTACACTTCCTCCGAAGTAAATTACGGCTTGGTCTTATGATCATGGGATTAGGGGGCATACCCCTGCCAGAGACGGCTAGTCTGTCAGCAAGCTCATTCCCTCTGATGCCAACATGGCTAGGGACCCAGTTAATGATTATTCTTCTATCCTGAGCAAGGATTCCCTGGGCTATAGTAAGTATTGTGGTCAGGAGGTAGATGTTGTCTTTGGGTGAGCTTTGCTGAAGACAGTCAGTGGCTGTCCTGGAGTCATTATATATATATATATATATGAAGCAATCTTGTTGCAAGACGAGGGTCCTCTTCCGCAGTTAGTAGATGCTGCGCAGAAATTTTAGAGCCTCCGAACGAGTAGTGGAAGACCGCCCACGTGATAGTTCTGTGCGAGAATAATGTAAAAACACCGCGGGATTCTGTGCGTTACCTTGGCGATAGTTCGCCTCGCCGCCGTCGGCCATATCCCGGCATGCAAACAAACACCAGAGATTCCAGGGAGAGGGGAGTGTTGCCAGATGTAAGGTGTTTTAAATATAGTGACAACGGTCACATTGCACGAATCCGTCCCTTTTCACAGGCCCACGGAAGGCAGCCGTTCCCATCCTCTCGCGAGCCACGGCAGACGGGAACCCGAAATTCAAACTCCCGAGATGCCCCTGGTAGCGCCCGTGAGTGATGCGATTCACTCCGGCAGACCCGTGATTCGTATCAATGTAAATGACATTACTTGTAATTGCTTTGTAGACCCGGGCTCTGAAGTAACACTGATCCGCGAAAAAAACGAAACAGACGCTGAACTTTAAAGGGGGCATTCAGCCTTCCTTTAGATCGCTAAGAAGCGCGTCGGGCCATTCCTTTAGGACGACGGAGGATGTGGATCTTTCTTTTGCTCTGAGTGAGGAGGTAAAATGTACACATAAGGTAAACATTGTAAATGATACAGTATCCTTCCGGGAGATATTTTGATCCGGATGGTTTGGCTGAGGCGATTCAAGTTTCGAAGAGTAACATCTCATGCTCCTGTGGTGTTCAATGGTGTCCGAGTCAGAATGGCGTTCACAGTTTGTCCCTCGTTAGGTCTCTCGGAGATAACTGAGCGTCGCCCGCAGAGTTCAGGTGCCCTTTGTACGTCCGCAGAAGGTATCTTTATCATTGTCATTTCATTATTATTACTATTTTCAGTATCTTTATCATTATCATTATTATTATTTTATTATTATTATTATTTTATTATTATTATTATTTTATTATTATTATTATTTTATTATTATTATTATTTTATTATTATTATCATTCTCTTTATTATCATAATACCTTTTTAAAAGCATTTTTATCATAAATGCTATGAATATTATCACTATTATCATGCTAGGTTTATTACATTAGGTTCGGTTAGGATTACTAGTTTAGATTAATTTATGTTTATTAGTTTAGTTTATGTTATGCTATATCATGTTTATTAGTTTTGTTTAAGTTGGGTTAGGTTAGGTTCCGTTGCGGTAGGTCAAGTTAGGTTGGGCTTGGTTAGATTTATTAGTTTAGGTTAGGTCTGCTTAGGTATATTTATTAATTTAGGGTAGTGTAGGTTAGGTAGTTTACTACTGCTGGAATTATTGTAAACAGTAAATACTGATGCGGTTTCTTTTTTTCTCTATTTTTTTTCAATTGCAATATATTTGCTTGAATATTTATATATATCCTTTCGGTTAGATCTCTACTTCTGTATTATTATTATAGTTTTTTTACTTGGCATACGTTCCATTCACAGGATGACGATGAGTATCCTCGCCGACTGGATGCCTTTGGCCCCACTCACGGACGAGGAAATTTATGGCACAGGAGTCAGTATCAAAGAAGAGCTCAGCGAAGATATTTCCGAGGATACTTGTATTGAAATTAAAGAAGAGCCGTTTGATTATGCAGATAAAGAGAGGGATGGGATGAACGACGAGAAAGTGAAACATAAATATCTCTTCTTTCATAATCTTGATGAACTAAGACATAAATCAAATGCAAGAATAAAATAAATAAATTAAATACGAGAACACGTTTAAGTTGGCTCAGGATCGTAATGACATGTCATTAAGAGCGCCATTTGTAGCTGATAATTCTCAGACCAAAATTTTCTTCAGATGGGGATCAGACGATGCATAAGGAAAATCTTAAGCAGGATACACAAACAAAAGTGGAAACTACATTGAAACGTTTTGCTTGTGAAGTATATGACAAGAAATTCTCTCAAAACAGAAATATTAACATTAACATGAGAGTTCACACAAAGAAGAAGCCATTCAGCTGTGAGATTTGCAGCAAGGCCTTCTCTCGGAGAGACCAATTACCAAGGCACATGAGAGTACATACAAAGGAGAAGCCATACAGCTGTGAGATTTGCAGCAAGGCTTTCTCTGAGAAAGGTACTCTAGTAAAGCACATGAGAGTACATACAAAGGAGAAGCCATACAACTGTGAGATTTGCAGCAAGGCCTTCTCTCAGAAAGGTCATCTAGTAGAGCACATGAGAGTACATACAAAGGAGAAGCTATTCAGCTGTGAGATTTGCAGCAAGGCCTTCTCTCAGAAAGGTCATCTAGTAAAGCACATGAGAGTACATACAAAGGAGAAGCCATACAGCTGTGAGATTTGCAGCAAGGCCTTCTCTCAGAAAGGTCATCTAGTAGACCACATGAGAGTACATACAAAGGAGAAGCCATTCAGCTGTGAGATTTGCAGCAACGCCTTTTCTGTGAAATGCAGTCCTGTAAATCACATGAGAATACATACAAAAGAGAAACCTTTCACCTGTGAGATTTGCGGTAAGGCCTTCTCTAAGAAAGGTACTCTGGTAAGGCACATAGGAGTACATACGAAGGAAAAGCCATTCAGCTGTGTGATTCAGCCGTGTGATTTGCAGCAAGGCCTTCTCTGTGAAAGCACATGGGAGTACATAGAAGGGAGACGCCATACAGCCGTGAGATTTGCAACAAGGCAGTCTCAGACAGGTAATCTAGTAAAGCACATGAGAGTACATGCAAAGGAGAAGACATTTAGGCTTTTCACGAAGAAATAATCTAGTTAGACATACAAGAGTGCATACAAAAGGAGAAGCCATAAGTGTGTGATATTCAGTAAAGCCTTCTCAGAATAGAAGAAAGTCTAAAGCAACACATGAGAGTACATGTAAAGGCGGATCTATGGAGCTTCTGTCAAAAAGAGATATTGCAATACACATAAGAGTACATACAGTCCTACAGCTGTGAGATTCTAAAAAAGGAGATTTTCAGAGAAAAGCCATACAGCTGTGTCATTTGTTATAAGAGCTTCTCACAGAAAAGTAATCTAGTGATACATATGAGAGTTCAAAGGAAATGCCATATAGATATGATATTTGCAAAAAGGAATTCCCTCTGAAAAGTAAGGCATATCAGAGTACAACCAAATGAGAAGCCATTCAGCTGTGATACTTGTAACAGGGCATTCTCTCAGAAATCTAATCTAGTGACTCATACGAGAGTGCGTACAAAGGGGAAGCCATACAACTGTGATATTTGGAATAAGACCTTCACATACAAAAACTGACTAGTAAGGCATATTAGAGTACATACAAAGGAAAAGCCATACAGTTGTGGTATTTGCAATAGGGCATTCTCAGATAGATGCCATCTAGAAAGTTAACAAGAGTACACACAAAGGAGAAGCCTTACAGTCGCAATATTTGCAATGAGGCCTTCACATCCATGAACGTTATAGTAAAGCATATCCAAGTGCAGACGATGGAGTAACCTTGCTACTGTGATATTTGCAATAATGTCTCACATGAAAATAGTTTAGTGAACTATATGATATTGCATATAAAGGAGAAGCCATACTGTTGTGTGATAAGCTACAGTTGTAAAGTTTATAATAGCTAATCTATTGGGCCATTTGAGAGTACACACACAGAAGCCCTATAATCTCATAGTGCAATACATATTAACCCCTTGGTGCCGGGTATGACGTGTACGTACGTGCTATGCCCACAGTGAGTACTTCTTTGATTGTTTTTACGCATAGATGGCAACACTTGTACTAACTCCCCAATGAGCCAGTTACGAGCACCGTCCGTCTCGCCCGTTTACCCGTTTCTTTGATTTACAAAATATTTTACGTAATCTTATTTTGCTGTTACTAATGTTAAAAAAAAATATAAAAATTATAATGTTTATGATAAAAATAACACCATCGATTTTCATAGTACTGGTGAAAAATACGTATGTATATATATATATATATATATATATGTGTGTGTGTGTGTGTGTGTGTGTATAAATATATAAGTATGAATATATATACATATATATATATATATATATATATATATTTATATTATATATATATATATAAGTATGATATATATACGTATATAGATATATATATATATATATGTATATATATATATATATGTATAATTATGAATATATATACGTTTATATATGTATACATATACATACAAATATTCATACTTATTATATATTCATATTATTTACATATATATATATATATATATATATATATATATATACATATATATATATATATATATATATATTTACATATATATAATATATATATACATATATATATATATATATATATATATATATATAAATATACATTCATATATATATGTATATGTATATATATATATATACATTCATATATATGTATGTATATATATATATATATATATATATTCATATATATGTATATATATATATATATTATTTATTTAGCCTAACCTAATAAGCATACTCAAACCTAACCTAACCTAAGAAAAGCCAGCTACCTTAACCTAATCGATAACGTAATTAGAGTTGTGATTCTCAGGTATGGCATCCAGTGTTTTGTTGAATTCATATTATAGTCGTACAAAAGACACAAATATTGAAATTTATGCTAAATGAGAAACTACAGTAAATTTACTAAGGAGGAGCATCAGTTCCCTCACATTGCCCTCACACATTATGCGTAGTTATTGATTACGACAAGGTATGATACACTATAGAGATTCCAACCTGACACCCATTTGCTTTGTCGATTCCATAGCGCGTTCCTACAAAGAAAGTGAAACACAATGGAAGTGTATGCTAAATGACAAATTAAGTGTGCAAAGCTTAGGCTTAGATCAGGTTGGGCTAGGGTACGTTATATTTCTGTCAGGTTAGGTTAGATTGGGTAGGTTAGGTTAAGCTGGGTTGGGTTAGGTTCAGTTATTTCTCTGTGAAGCTAGGTTTATTACATTAGGTTAGGTTAGGATTACTAGTTTAGATTAATTTATGTTTATTAGTTTAGTTTATGTTATGTTATATCAAGTTTATTAGTTTTGTTTAAGTTGGGTTAGGTTACGTTCCGTTGCGGTAGGTCAAGTTAGGTTGGGCTTGGTTAGATTTGTTAGTTTAGGTTAGGTCTGCTTAGGTATGGGTAGATTAGGTATATTTATTAATTTAGGGTAGTGTAGGTTAGGTAGTTTACTACTGCTGGAATTATTGTAAACAGTAAATACTGATGCGGTTTCTTTTTTTCTCTATTTTTTTTCAATTGCAATATATTTGCTTGAATATTTATATATATCCTTTCGGTCAGATCTCTACTTCTGTAAGGAATTGTTAATATTATTATATTACGAAATTTAATCATGAATGCCTATATATATATATATATATATATATATATATATATATATATATATATATATATATATATATATATATATATATATATATATATATATGCATATACATATATATATAATGCATATATATATATGATATATATATATATATATATATATATATATATATATGCTATATATATATGCATATATATATATATATATATATATATATATATACATATATATATATATATGCATATATATCTATCTATCTATCTATCTATCTATCTATCTATATATATACTGCTACAAGCCCAGGTAGCTTGCCAGGTGTTTTACCCTTGAATTAGGTGGTTCAGGGTATTCGGGTTGCCGTGAGGACTTGCTGGAACACCGTCGCATAATCACCAACGTTGGGCTTTCGGTCTGGTTTTTGCTTAATGTAATTTTCTTGGTTAGGGTTGGTTTAGGATTACAGTAGGATTAGGGCGATTACTCGCGTAGGCATATATGGTGATAGTTTTGTAAATAAGAAATAGTAATCAAATGTACGAAACTTGTTTACTCTTTTCATGTCCCCCTATAAATGACTCTACTCTACAAACATAAATAAGGATTATAAGTGAAAATAACAATGATAATTATACTCATACTGGTGATTAATATTATTTTTGTTATCATTGTTACTGTTACTATTATTGTTTATATTTTATTGTTATTGTTACTATCATTATCACTGTTGCAATCATTGTAATAAAACTTATAATATACATTATTTTCATTTTAATTTTCATGTGCATTGCCTATGTTCTTGTTATCTTTATTATCTTTCGTATTATTATTGTTATTATTGTCAATATCATTACAGTTGCTATTATTAATATGATGCATCGCTATGTATCATTATTATATATCACTACATTAGTATGCTATAATATTTACTGTTACTATTGTTGTTTTTACTCTTATTTTTATTAATACTATTATTGTCATACTGGTTATTAAAAATGACTAAACGTAGTAATCATTATTTGTATTTTCCCTTATGTTGTACTTAATATTATTGTCATTTTTTTTATTAACATTATCACAATTACTAAAATCATTATTATTATGTAGCACTATGTGTTATTATTATTATCAATATTTCTTGTCGTCCACTGGATGTAATAAATCTATCAAATCAAATATATCACTAATTGTATTGCTGATATTATTACACTTATCATCAATATTATTATATTCAGTTATACCATTATGCATTATTATGAATGAATAGTTATTTTAATCCTTATTAGGCTTCCAACTAGATTTCCTATGACTGTGTCTACTTTGACGAATGAATTCAATGAGAAAGTCCTTATTATTTACTGGTCCAACGTTACCTACCTGCATACGTGAAATGGATGGAAAATCTGTATTATCCTACTTCCTCCAACGGGAAGTATTATCTAAAAACACCGGGGCTCAAATGGGGAATGGTTACTGACATAAGGAAAATCATATTGCAAAAGTGCATTTCAATCACTAGACAGCAAATAACCCTTCATATTAACTGTATATATAAGGAGTATATGTAAAACATTTTATATAGTGAATGACAGTTTAAAAATATATATATGTCAACGTGGCGTTTTCCTACCAGGGCAGAGGCAAAGATCCGCCTAACCTAACCTAACCGCTGGAGGATCTGCACTGGCCGCCTCTGACCTCGCAGTCTTTCAGTGTTTATCAGAGAGGAAACTGAAGCACTGAGTCTGGAACATCTAAATTTATGAAAGATACAAGGAACTTCTTTTGAAAAAATCCACTGATTATAACACTGCCAATATATGTTAAACACAGTTCCCTGCATTTAATATTGAAGAAAAACACCTGTTGATACTGTGATAAGGATAAATCCGGTATGCGAAGCTGAGCCTCGCCCGGGTTATGAGGGGAGCCCGGCCTCTGTCGACTAATGACGTTAGACTACTGACCGAACTGAGACAAAGAAGTCAGTGACTTAATAACTGAAATAGCTATATATATGTATATATATATACACGTATGTATATACATATATATGTATATATATACACACAAGCATATATACATATATATCTATACACACACATATATATGTATATATATATATATGTAAATATATATATATATATATGTAAACACACACACACATATATATGTATATATATATGTATAGGCACGCACACACATACACACACATATATATGTATATATATGTATATGTATATATATAGATAGATATATAGATAAATAGATGTAATGAATAAGCATATGTATAGATAAGAATTTGATACATACTATACACAAAAATACAAACACATAAATTCATATCTATCTCTATATGTGTACCTGCCGTGCTCCTCTCCCGGGTCTTGGAGATGAGGGAAGGCTAGCCCAGGTTTCTGGAAAGTGGTCTTTGTTGTTCCTTGAAACTATCGAAGGAGTCGATGCATGCATTAGGGTTAAAAAAAGGTCATTTGAGTTTTGGGGTCGAAAGCTGACATGTAAGGAATATAAATACACGAAATATAACTTGATGGCATATTTATCATATATACATACAGTCAGCTTTTGTTATCTATTCTGTTTCTATTGCTGATGTTTCCCCGTATTCCATGAGTTATTCATAGGGTGGAAGGGCCACTGAGCAGGACTTAGCATACAGTTCCCCTCAGAAATTTATATGGAAACTGCGTTTTCACTAAACTATTATTAATATATTTCTTTTTTTGTATATGCCTCGTTGTAAGGACCCCTGTCATCTCATTCCTTTTGGTCTTGCTAATAAGGATCAATAATAAAAATATATTTCTCCAGGGTCGATTGCAATGATATAATCACACAAACACATGCACACACATACATATATCTATATGAATATATATACACACATAAATAT